TCAGGTTCTGTGGTGGAGGTCAGGTTCTGTGGTGGAGGTCAGGTTCTGTGGTGGAGGTCAGGTTCTGTGGTGGAGGTCAGGTTCTGTTGTGTTGAGGTTCTTTTGTGGAGTTGAGGTTCTGTTGTGGAATTCAGGTTCTGTTGTGTTGAGGTTCTGTGGAGTTCAGGTTCTGTTGTGTTGAGGTTCTGTTGTGTTGAGGTTCTGTTGTGGAGTTGAGGTTCTGTTGTGGAGTTGAGGTTCTGTTGTGTTAAGGTTCTGTTGTGGAGTTGAGGTTCTGTTGTGTTGAGGTTCTGTGGAGTTGAGGTTCTGTTGTGGAGTTGAGGTTCTGTGGAGTTCAGGTTGTTGTGGAGTTCAGGTTCTGTGGTGGAGTTGAGGTTCTGTTGTGTTCAGGTTCTGTTGTGGAGTTGAGGTTCTGTTGTGTTGAGGTTCTGTGGAGTTGAGGTTCTGTTGTGTTGAGGTTCTGTTGAGTTCAGGCTCTGTTGTGGAGTTTGAGGCTGGGGCTTGGGGTTCCCCTTAGTGTATTCCCAGCAATTCCACCCACCTTCTTATCACAGAATGTCATGTCTCCTGTTGCATTAGAAGTGTTTGCAGCTATAGTTGTGTGTTTTAGTTGTGTGTGTGTGAGAGAGAGAGAGAGAGGGAGAGAATGCCTTTGTAATTGAGGAACTTTTTTGGGGGGGAGTCTGGTTGTGGGACCTGAATTCTGGGCTTGGGCGCTGTTCCTCAGCTTTTCAGCTCAAGGCTAGCGCTCTACCACTTGAGCCACAGCGCCACTTCTGGCTTTTTTCCCCCCTGTTTATGTGGTGCTAAGGAATCCAAACCCAGGGCCTCATGCATGCAAGGCAATTGCTCTACCACTGAGCCACCTTCCCAGCCCTAATTGAGGAACTTTTAAAGAAACAGTTCATGAAAGTACACTTAGTTTTAAGTGTACTTAAATGCGAATAGTTAAGAGTACTTCACTTTAAATATTTAGACTTAACACCAATCACCTGTTCATTTTTAAAAATAATTTTATGCCAGTACTGAAACTTGAATTCAGGGCCTGGACACTGTCCCTTCGCTTTTTCCATTCAGGGCTGGTATTGTACCACTTGCGCCAGCTTGACTTTAGGCTTTTTGGTGGTTAATTGGACATAACAATGTCTTTTCTGCTGGGGCTGGCTTTGAACCTGAATCCTCAGCTCTCAGCCTCCTGAATGAGTAGTTACGGCGAGCTACTGCTGGTCAGCACCTGTTGGTTTTTAATAAGAACACATGTGAACATAGCATTTTCTTACTGCAGAAGATTAGGAACATTCTAGATACTCTGAACAGAAAAAAAAAATTGTATCTGGGTTTTCTTTCTTCTTCAACCTATTTCTCAGTGTTTCCTGTGGTTGGTCACTTTTCTTTGTTACATACAAAGTCTACAGTTGGTCACAAATGATGTTTGTTGGTTTGTGACAGCATCTTACTTAAGTGGCCCAAGGTGCTTGCACCATCCTCCTGCCTAAACCTCCCAGTGCTAAGTAGGTCTGTACAACCATGCCTGGAACTCATGTGGGAGATCTTTTGGCTTCTCTCTGTGTCTCTATTCCCCTTCCCCCATTTCCCCTCCTTAGCATGTGGATCTCACTACTTTACAGCCCAGCCAAGCCTGAAATTCATTATCTTTTTTTTTTTTTTGTCAGTTGTGAGGCTTGAACTCAGGGCCTGGATGCTGTCTCTGAGCTCTTTTGCTCAAGACTAGCGCTTTACCACTTTAAGCTGATTTTCTGGTGGTTAATTGGAGATGAGTCTCATAGATGTTCATGCCTGGACTGGCTTTGAACCGCCATCCTCAGATCTCAGACTCTTAAGTAGCTAGGATTATAGGTGTGAGCCTCCTCATAATCCTTTTACTTCAATCCCTTGCAGATGTGTTTCATAGTGAGCTTTTTTGTTTGTTTGTTTGTAAAGGGAATAGTTAAGGAAATATGTTTCAGCCTGCAGCAGTGGCTCACACCTGTAATCTTAGCTACTCAGGAGGCTGAGATCTGAAGATCATGGTTCAAAACCAGCCTGGACAGGAAAGTCTGTGAGACTGTTTCCAAATAACAACCAGAAAACCGGAAGTGGCGCTGTGGCTCAAGTAGTAGATCACTCGCCTTGAGCTGAAGATCTGAGTGACAGCGCCCAGGCCCAGACTTCAAGCCCCACAACCCACAAAAGAAAGAAAAAAGAAAGATACAATCAGCTTTCTGGACAATGCACCAAATACCAGAAATTTTTGTTTTGTTTTTGGCCAGTCCTGGGGCTTGAACTCAGGGCCTGGGCACGGTTCCTGAGCTTCTACTCAAGGCGAGCGCTCTACCACTTGAGCCACAGCACCACTCCCGGCCTTTTCAGCTGATGTGGTACTGAAGAATTGAACCCAGGCTTCATGCATGCTAGGCAAGCACTCTACCACTGAGCCACCTGCCCAGCCCATTACCAGAAAGTTGAAGACAGCTAAACAACCTTAGTCCTTGTGTCTGGCAAGAGAATAACTGAAGCAAGACGTAAACATGAGCTAATGATAGAAATACTTATCAGAAGCCAGGCGCTGGTGGCTCATGACTGTAATCCTAGATACTCAGGAGGCTGAGTCTGAGGATTGTGGTTCAAAGCCAGCCTGGGCAGGAAAGGCCGTGAGACTCTTACCTCCAATAAACCACCAGAAAGGCGGAAGTGGCCCTGTGGCTCATGTGGTATTTGCTAGCTTTGAGCCTAAGAGCTGAGGGACAGTGTTCAGACCCAGAGTTCAAGCCCCATGACTGACCAAAAAAAAAAAAACTTATCAGAAAAGAAGCATGGCAGAGAAAGAGAGCACGTGATGTAGATGCCACTGGAAGCCAGCCCTAGACAGCAAGCTTGGCCTTGGGTTAAACGGAAAATTGGGCAGCTTTCTGATTGGTGGGTCTGTTTCTGGTAAGACTTGGTGACTCATGTATTTTCCCCCTTCGTTTGTCCTCCTTCATTGTTGTGTAGCCTCTTACTCCATTTTGTATCAGTTTCCCCCGCCATCTGCCATCTGCCAGCTGTATAGGCTAAAATTCCCCGCCAACTTTTCTACTAACCCTGCCTTTGCTCCTAACCCCCTATCAACACTTGCTCCAATGAGCAGCTAATTCAGGATCCTGGCATGTCTCTGTTTATTCTATGCTCCTAAATTAGCACAGTTAACCTCCTTCCTTCTCCTGCTTCATTTAAATCACATTTTTTACCGCCCCCCTCCCCCCATGAGTTTTAGCATTCCAAACTGACAGCAAAGTGGAACATCCATCTGTGTACAGTTGACCTAATTCACCAAATCCTCTCCCTTTGAACTTCTGGAAGTTTCTTCTGACAACCCATTTGTGGTTTTGCTTTTTTGGGGGGGTCTTTCATATACCATTGACATTTCAGGGCAGGTTCGTTGTTTCGTAGAAGAGCCTTCCTTGTGGATTTGCTGATTGCCTCCCCAGGACTTACCTGTCCTTCTGTGGAGGCTTGATGATGTACATTCTGTTACCCGGTCAGTTGGTTGACATGGCACATCGGACTTCTCCACTGTGAAGTTGCTTTTTTGAAGTTAACTCACCTCAGTGATGATTCTTGCAGCTTTTTGGTGATTAACTGGAAATAATACTTTCCTGTCCTCGCTGGCTTTTGAACTGTGATCCTCAGATCTGAGCTGCCTGAGTAGCTAGAATGACAGTGTGAGCCACACCAGCACCTGGCTTTTTAGCATTTCTTGGTGCAGGACTAAATGTTTCCCCTTGCTTTTATTCTTTTCCTTCCACGTGGGGCCTCAGCCATGTTTTCCTACATCTACAATTTGAAAGAGAATCATCACAGTGGAAGTGATAGCTGTTTCTTTGTGTTTTTACAAAGAAGTACTTCCTGGTCAATTTACATTTACATTTCTTTTTAATATCACCCTTATTTGTGATTTTTTTCCTAAGTGCGAGGTGTTATTACCCATTAATGTCTTTCACTCCTTTTTCTTTTTCTTTTTTTAATGCTTCAGAGTTTGGCCAGTCTTTTCCAGCTGGCTTATATGTTCTTTCATGTACCTCTATCAGCTTAAAGAAATGTTCCTGTACTCTGTATGACCTAGTCCGGACTATCTCCAACGAGCTGGTCCCTCTTTGGACTATCAGGACCGGGCCAGGAAAGCCTTCTCCTTTGGATTGTGTAGTGACTTGTTTGTGCAAACAAGTTTAGTAGAAGTTAAATGTAGAACTCCATGGGATGTAACAGAAAGCCATCAGCGTGGTATGTAATTCTGACAGTTTGCAATTGAAGACATCTGGGGGACCCACTCTTGGTGATGCAGTACCCAAAGCATAACTTCTTTGTTGATCTTTAAGATCAAAAGACCAGAGCAGACAATATCTTTTATCTGAATTTTTGAAGTCATTTGGAAGAAAGAAACCGACCGACTTCCTAACATTTACCAACAGCCGTATGACCCCTACCTTATTCTATGATTGATTGTTAGGAAGGAGCATGCTAACTGATTGTGTTTTAAAAATATTTAATAAAAATATTGAGTTGTCTTGAACTATAATCATGTTTTGTCCTCTCTCTTCCTGCTCTTGTAATAGTTGGACAGAGAAGTTCTGAAGATGTGAGAGAGAAAGACCCAGAAAAAGAAATGGCTACCAACTCTGAAGTCACAGACACCACAAAGGATGGGCAGGAGGAAATACCTGAAATAATCGAAGAGATTCCTTCCTCGGCTAGCAATTTAGATGAGATAGCACACTCCACCGAGTCCCAAGCTAATGATGTTGGATTTAAGAAGGTTTTTAAGTTTGTTGGCTTTAAATTCACTGTGAAAAAGGATAAGACCGAGAAATCTGACACTGTCCAGCTAGTCACCGTTCAAAAAGAGGAAGGTGAAGGAGCAGAAGGTTCAAATGGGGCTGGCGACCACCAGGAGGCCAGCGTGGAGACGGAAGGGTCATCGTCCAAAGAGAGCGAACTCAAGCAATCCACGGAGGAGCTGAAGCACCCCTCGAAGCACGAGCAAAGCATCACTGAAATTTCCACACGAGCTGAGTCTGATCAAGCCGCAGAGGAAAGCAACAGAGAAGCAGAAACACAAGAAAGAGAGCCTCCTAGGCCTCTAGACTCCCCCACCAGCCCCATCAACGAGACAGCGTCGCCTTTTAAGAAATTCTTCACTCAAGGCTGGGCTGGCTGGCGGAAGAAGTCGAGTTTCAGGAAGCCAAAGGAGGACGAGCTGGAAGCTTCTGAGAAGCCAAGAGAACAGGAGCCAGAGAAGCCGGATATGGAGGGAGAGGAAAATACCGAGGGAGTCCTGGAGCAGCCCGCGGCCTCTCCACAGCCCCCGGCCCCGGAGCCCCCGGCGGCCCGATTATCCGCCGAGTACGAGAAGGTCGAGCTTCCCGAGCTTCCCTCGGAGCCTCCGGGGCCTGCCCACGACAAACCCGCCCCGCTGGCCTCGGAAGTGTTCGATGAGAACGTCGAAGGCCACCGAGAGGTCGCGGCGGACGTTCACACCTGCACGGCCGAGGCGCAAGACCCTGGGACACCCTGGGCCCACGAGACGCTGGAGGAAGCCACCGCCACCGCCACTGCGGGGGAAGCCACCTCCACCGCCGGGGAAGCCACCGCCACTGCGGGGGAAGCCACCGCCACCGCCACCGCCGGGGAAGCCACCAACACAGCCACCGCCGGGGAGGCGGAACCCACGCTGGGCGCCCCCGAGGGCGACCGCCCCTCCCCGGCCGACCTGGCTCCGGAGGAACCGTCTAAACACCCGGAGGGCGCGGCGGGTGAGGCCGAGCTCCTGTCCTCGCAGGAGCGGATCAAGGCGCAGGGAAGCCCCCTGAAGAAGCTGTTCAGCAGCTCTGGCTTGAAGAAGCTGTCCGGGAAGAAGCCGAAGGGGAAGCGAGGAGGGGACGAAGAGTCGGGGGAGCATCGCCCCGCGCCCGCCGAGTCCCCCGACAGCGCCGACGAGCAGAAGGCGGGGGACAGCTCCGCCTCGTCCCCGGAGGAGCCCGAGGAGCCCGCGGCTGCGGAGAAGGCGCTGGGGGACGGCCCCCGGGAGGGGGAGGGGGAAGAAGGAGCCACCTCCTCGGACGGGGAGAAGAAGAGAGAGGGCATCACGCCCTGGGCCTCCTTCAAGAAGATGGTGACGCCCAAGAAACGCGTGCGGCGGCCCTCGGAGAGCGACAAGGAGGACGAGCTGGACAAGCTGGACAAGGTGAAGAGCGCCACGCTGTCGTCCACCGAGAGCGCCGCCTCCGAGGCGCCCGACGACGCCAAGGGGGCCGCCGAGGAGCCGCGGCGCAAGGTGGACAGCTCCGTGTCCTGGGAGGCGCTCATCTGCGTGGGGTCGTCCAAGAAGAGAGCGAGGAAAGCCTCGTCGTCCTCCGAGGAGGGGGACGCGCCGCCGGCCGAGGAGGCCGGCCGGGAGCCGGGCGCCGACGCGGGCCCCGAGCCGCAGGAGCCCGGGCAGCAGGGCAGCTCCTCGCCCGAGCCGGCCGGCAGCCCCTCGGAGGGCGAGGGCGTGTCCACCTGGGAGTCCTTCAAGCGGCTGGTCACCCCGAGGAAGAAATCCAAGTCCAAGCTGGAAGAGAAAACCGACGATGGCGTGGAAACTTCCGCTTCCGCTTCCGACCTGGAACCGGGAAGGGAAGAGTCTTGGGCTTCCATTAAGAAGTTCATTCCTGGACGGCGAAAGAAAAGGTCCGATGGGAAGCGAGAAGCCGGCCCCGCGGAGGAGGCCGCAGGCCCGGCGGAGGCCACCGAGGACGACGGCGATGTCCCCGCCGTGGTGCCCTTGGCCGAGTACGACGCGGTGGAAAGGGAGAAGATGGAAGCCCAGCTCGCGCGGGGCGGCCAGGGGGCGGAGGCTAGGCCGGGGGCGGAGCCCGACGCGCCCAGCGCGCCTGCGCAGCAGTACGGCCCGCAGGTGGACCTGTACGTGTCGGAGGAGGTGAGCCAGAGCCTGGTGCACACCGTGACGGTGGCCGTGATCGACGGCGCGCGGGCCGTGGCCGATCTGGAGGAACGCTCTCCGTCCTGGATCTCCGCTTCGGTGACTCAGGCCCCCGAGCCGGCAGAGGAGGACGAAGCCAGACCCCCGTCCGGGGAGGTGACGGGAGCATCCGTCGAAGCCGGAGAGACCCCCGCGGCTCCCCGCCCGGGCGATGAGCCAGTCCCCAGCGACACGGACTTCACCTCGGCGGAAGCCGTGACCGCGGCCGAACCCCCCGAGGCCCTGTGTGCCGAGGAAGCCACGGAGCCGTCGGGGGCGGAGGAGACCACGGAGATGGTGTCGGCCGTGTCCCAGCTCACCGACTCGCCCCGCACCGCCGAGGAGGCCACCCCGGTCCGGGAGGCGGAGGGCGCCGCGGCCGACGCAGGGGAGCAGGAGCGGCGCACGCGCGCCGTCCTCCAGGCCGTGGCTGAAAAAGTGAGAGGGGAGGCGGAGCCCGCGGACACCCGTGGGCCGCACGACGGGGTGCAGACCGCGCCGCAGGAGGAGCCCCCCACGCCAGCGATGGGGGGGCCGGAGCAGGGGGCCTTGGAGGAGACGGTCCAGGACACGGAAGCTGACCTCGGTGACCTCGGTGCCGCGCGGAGTGGAGAGGCCGAGGAGGCTGTCAGCGGGGCGCCGGCCCAAGCCTCAGCCCAGGCCCAGCCCCAGGAGACGATGGGGGCGCCGGCCATCTCCCCCGACTCGGCCGAAACCCTGACCGACAGCGAGACAGACGGAAGCACGCCCGTGGCCGAGTTCGAAGCCGGAGATAGCGTGCAGCAGGACGAGGTCCTGGGAACCCCCGGAGACACAGCCCTCGCTTCCCGTACCCAGTCACAGACCGCAGAAGAGGGGCCGAGTCCTGCCCAGCAAGAGGCTCCTCCAGCACCTTCTAGTTGCCAAACCCAGGAAGAGAAGAAAGAACCAGCAGAGGCAGAGACTGTGCTAGAACGTACCCAAGGAGAGCTGTTGGGGGAAGCTGGACCCGTTGAGGTGTGTCAAGAGGTTGGCCAGATGCCCGATGAAGAAGCCAAAGAGGATGGGCCGTGGGGTGAGGGACACGAAGTGTCCACCCGCACCGACGGAGCGGAGAGCCCGGAAAAGGCTCCTGAAGTGGCCCCTGATGGGGAGGCGGCCGCGGAGGCGGGCTGTCAGATGGATGACGCTCTTGAACTCCAGCAGCCAAGCCTGCAGGAGAGAGAGGCAGGCCGGGAGGATCCTACCGAAGCACAGCCCCTGCAAGAGAGTGAGCAAGAACCCACGCCCAAAGCAGCTGCTCCCCGAAGTGAGGAAGTGGTTTCCACAGTGGACACGCCCCAGACCAGCAGTCCTGATAGAAGCCCATCTCCTTCTCTCCAGGCCCACGAGGTTGAAGTTGAAGGCTGTGGAGCATCAGCACCTCCAACCGCTGGAGCAGTGGAGGAGGTGGTAGAGGTGGTGGAGCAGGTCTTAGAAGAAACTAAGATTTCAGAAGCAGGTGAAACTTTGCAGTCTGCAGGTGCACCTGTAGGCCCAGCAGAGAAGTCTGTTGAACGAGAAGAAGACCAGGCCCCTCAGTTAGAAGGCGATGATGTTTCTGCAGAGCCTGAGACTCAGGCAATGTCCATACCAGTTCTACTGACCGGTCATGAAGAAGGCTTAGAGAGAGAGGGAAGTGGTCCCCAGACAGGGCAGGCAGCAGATGGAGGGGATGAGCAGGTTAGTTGGCAGGAAGACCATGCCAGTACGTCTTCTGAGGGAGATCTTAAGGCTGAACTTGAGTCTGAGAGCAGTAAGATCATCCAAAATGTAATTCAGACAGCAGTTGACCAGTTCATCCAGAAGGAAGAGACGGCCGTGGACATGATTACCTCTGATTCACAGACACAGGCTTTGTCCCTGCGAGCAGAAGCAGCTGAAGAGCAGGCCCCTGTCCAGGATGAAACCCAAATCCTTGCAGCCCACGAGGAGTCTGAGCCAACTACAGTGGGACCCGCACTTTCCAAAGATGTGAGTGAAATGTCTGAAAAGATCTTGCCAATTGGCATGGAAAGTTCTGGTGTCGGTGGCCAGCAGCTTGACGAGGTGGTTCCTCCATCAGAGGCGGATGAAGATGGGAGCAGAGCAAAGGCTGTGTCTGACGAAGGTCTCCACGAGTTAAGAGAGAGAATAGAAAAGCCACCATCGGAACCCAAAGAAAACAAGAAAGGAGATGCACACCTGGAAGCCCAAATCTCAGCCCCCGCAGATGCCGAGGTCTCTGGAGGCTTAACCAAAGAGTCCTCCGACACCAATGGACCGAAAGTCACAGAGGAGGAGCCTGCCCAGGAGCCAGGATTCCAGGAAGGAAAAGGGCACAGTGAATCTGATAAGGAGATCAGATCCCCCAAAGAAGAGGAGATGCAAAAACCAGAGAGAGAGCCAGCAAAAGCTGAACTTACAGAATGCTAAGACAGTGGGTAAGTCAGCTTCCTTTGCTTCTAAAGTCATTTTTCCCTCTTGCATGCCTTCCGTGATGTATTTGTTAGAAAAGAATTGTTTTAAATAATTAGGATTGTTTTTTCAGTAATTATGATTTTTGCCAGGCACCTGGTGGCTTATGCCTGTAGTCCTAGCTACTTAGGAGGCTGAGATCAAAGCATTGAGGTTTGAAGCCAGCCCAGGCAGGAAAGTCTTTGAGTATTATCTGTAATTAAGCACCATAATGTTGGAACTGGAGCTGTGGCTCCAGTGATAGAGTGCTGGCCTCACGTGCGTGAGGCCCTGGGTTCGATTCCTTAGCACCACATAAACAGAAAAAGCCGGAAATGGGGCTGTGACTCAAAAGTGGTAGAGTGCTAGCCTTGAGCTGATCTGCTGAGGGACAGCAACCAGGCCCAGGGTTCAAGCCCCATGACCTGCCAAAAAAAAAAACAAAAAACTTAGGGACGGGACAAGGCCTAGGCACTGAGTTCAAGCCCCAGGACACACACACACGCACAGCTGTCTTATTAGTGTCATGAAAATAATGGCTTAATTTTACCCTTTGTGACACTGCTTTACAAAATAAAGGGGTGTATGTTACTCAGGATTACTTATCGTTATTCAGCTAGAGTCAAGTTTATATCAGACTGAAATTTATAGGTATTTAAAAAACAGCTTTTAGGGGGAATAAAATTTTTATGGGAATGCTAGTTAAAAAAAACTAAGTTAAATTTAAGTTAAAGAAACTCAGACTTTCTTGGCTTGCTTGCTCCACTGATACCCTACTACTTGAGTCATTTCTAGTCTAGCTTTTTGCTAGTTAGTAGAGATGGAGTCTGGAAGACTTTTCTGCCCAGGCTGGCTTACAAACTCCAACCTTCCTGTTCCATTAGGGTGATAAATACATGCCACTAACACAACTTTATTGCCCAGGCTGGCTTCCAGCCATGATTCTCAGATCTCAGCCTCCTGAGTAGCTAGGATTACAGGTGTGAGCCACCAGTGCTTGGCTTGCTTTCTTTTTTTGATGGGCTTAAACTGTGTGTGTGTGTGTGTGTGTGTGTGTGTGTTTTGTTTGTTTGTTTTTTGGGTCCGGTCGTGGGGCCTGAACTCTGGGCCTGGGCGCTGCCCCTCAGCTCTTCAGCTCAAGGCTAGTGCTCTACCACTGGAGCCACAGCACCACTCCCGGCTTTTTTCTTTTTTGCTTATGTGGTGCTGAGGAATCGAACCCAGGGCCTCATGCATGCAAGGCAAGCACTCTACCGCTGAGCCACCTTCCCAGCCCCTAAAATGTGTTTTTTTAGGGATAGTTTTTTCCTTTCCTTTTATTTTTCTGATCCTGGGTTTGAACTCAAGACCCTTGTGTTCTTACTTGGCTTTTCTACTCAAGGCTAGCACTTTACCACTTAAACTGCACCTTTCGCTTCTGGTTAATTGGTGATAAAAGGCTTCCAGACTTTCCTAGGCTTTGAACAGAGATCCTCGTCTCTCAGCCTCCTGCGTAGCTAGGATTGCAGGTGTGAGCCACTGGCACCTGGCTGCCCATGGTTTGTGCCGTTCACTCATACAGCTATTCTATTAGTAAATGAGGAACCAAGAGAGAATTTTGCTGACTCTTTGTCGGACTTCCTTTTACAGGGAAACCCATTGTACATTTGCCAAGACCAGAATGTGAAGACAAGTAGTGGAAGAAAATGCTGCTGAGACTCAAGACCATTATTTCAGAACTTTGAGAAATGGAGCGCAGGGCCATCCTCCATCGCCCCTGACAATCCTGAGGCTTCATCAGGAGCTTACAGCCGTCTAACATTTCTTGTTTCCAAGACCATCTCCTCTTTCCCCTTGATAGCATTTCATAGTTCTGATGTAAGGGGCTCAGTTCTTAACCTGGAACAATACCTAGCTCTACTTCTCAAACTGGAGTATCATGCTTTATGTATTTATGCGTATATTTTAAGCCATCCTCCTTCCATATCATCCATTGTATATTTTTTGCCTCCATGTTTCACGTGTGCCCTAGAGCACAGACCTTTTGTATCCCATGATACACAGCAGGCACGTAGCTATGGGAAGCCTGGGGAAACACCAGGCTTCACTTACCGTCCACACAAACGCAGCTCCCAAGAAATCACATTCCTGATGAGAAGGTACAATTCTTATTTTCAACATTCACTAATGCTTAGATCCATGCCTCTGAAATTGGCCGCTTTCTTCTATGCAGTGAGCTGAAAAAAAAATAAAACGCATTTGTAAACATACAGAATGATTCTTTTAGTTACTGTGAATTTCCCGCCTCCCCCTTTCTAGTCTAGCGAAAGTTGGAAAGTTTGTTTTCAATAGCAAGATAAATTTCTTCTCTGAGATGGTGTTACAGTGGTTTGAACAGACGAGTGTGCTAACTCTTACCTTAGCAGACCAGTGCAACATTTTTCATGTCATGCAGAAAGAACTGACTTTGTACATTTTTGATTCTACTTTTGTAGTCTAGACTGGATCTACATGTGGCGCAGCGAGTCCTTTCTCTGTAGATGCTATTTTGGTAGACGTGGCTGGTGTCTTGTGTACTTCTGTCCTTCTTGCCGAGCATTGTTGCACATTATGTTCATTTGGATAAACTGTGATTGGACAACTGATTTAAATAAAATATTTGCTTCTCTTAGATTTGCTGGCTTTATGAGGCTGTGTATTCACTGGGAGAAGACCAGTGAGGGTGGTAGGTGAACACCGGTTTGAGCCAAATGTTTACACGGCAGAGATGTATTTGCTAAAATAAACAGAGGCTTTTTTTAGATGGACATTTCTGCTCCCGCTCTGCCAACTCCCCTCCCCCCCAAAAGAGGCCTTTTTTAGAATTTCAATAATTTTTATTTCAAACAATGACAAATGTTGTGAAAAGGAAATTTGTAGAACTGCTTTGCCTAAAAGATGATGAAAAGTTTTTTAAAATGTTGACCTGAGGATCCATTTTTGTACATAAAGAATCTTGTCTGACAAAAAAAAAAACACACAAAGAACAAGCTTGTCACCTTATATATAAGATTTTACTTTTTTGCACATAGAACTAGCCTGGAAAATGCACTTAAATCTGACTTAATTTTAGTACTCCAGTTTGAGAATTTATGTTTTGGCTGCCAGTTAATTCTTTTTTTTTTTTTTTTTGGGTGGGTCCTGTCGTGGGGCCTGAACTCAGCCTGGGCGCTGTCCCTCAGCTCTTCAGTTCAAGGCTAGCGCCACTTCGGGCTTTTTTCTTTTTGCTTATGTGGTGTTGAGGAATCGAACCCAGGGCCTCAGGCATGCAAGGCAAGTGATCTACCACTGAGCCACCTTCCCAGCCCAGCCAGTTAATTTTTAAAAGCCTAACATTCTACAAACCCCACTTTAAAAAAGCGTCAAGGAAAGTTGCTGTTAAAATTAAATGTAGTTTCTCTTACAGCCTTGACTATATAAATAATTGACCACATTTAGCAAGGTATCTTGTAACGCTGTTTGGTCTTATAGTTGGACAATACATGCTTTTGTGAAATTATTCTCAAATATTCTCAACTATGCATAATTACTTTTTTGAGGTGGGGGTTGGGGAGGAATCTTACTATGTTACCTAGGCTGGTCTTGAACTTGGGGATTCAAATGATCCCACTTCAGCCTCCCAAGTGGCTAGGACCAGCTCACCTGTGCGTAACTATTAGACATGAACAGCTTTACCATCCTCTGGTCCAAGAGCTGGTGCCAATGTTTTTTGAAGATCAATAAAAGTACTGGAGATACCGAGGGGTTTGTGAGGAATTTCTGTGGACCCATTTCCTCTCTCTGGCAGGAAGAGAGCACAGCTGTTTTGAATGGATCAAACATGTGCATTTGTCTTTTCCCACACGGGGCCAAAGTGACTGGCTGTCACTATCAACTTTCCAGCTGTAACTCCTTGATGACATTTTATACTGCTACCTAATGTGCCCTAGATTGCTTGGCTACTCTATATCCAGGTCTGTTTAGCATTTTCTTTTTCTTAAGAAGAAGGTCAATGGTAGCCTGCAATACTGTTCTTTAATTCTGATGCTGCTGTTGAACATGATCACATGTAAAGGGTAGAAGGTGGAGCAAGTGCCTCATTTTGCTATTTTTGGCAATACAATTGGAGCCATGGTACATTAGAGCAAAAACCAAAACTTGTAAACTTTTGCTACTTGTAATTGCTTCAATGGTACCCATGAGTTGCCTCTCTGTGTACATATTTTGTTCCAATATTTTTCTTTGATGTTTGGAACTACCAGATTAGACAGGAGCTGCAAATTTTTAGCCTTCAATGTAAGCTTCAAGCTTAGCAGTTACCTCTACTCCAAGACGATATTTGATTCCTAGTTGTTTGGGGGCAAATTTTCATTAAATAAAATACAATCTAATTAAATGCCATGGACTTTTCTTCCTGTGGTTTTACCTTGATCGGGGCTATGTTGCTTTTCTCTTCATGTCCATACTCTAGCACACATTTTAGATGAGGAACTTTCTTGTCAGTCCCTGAGTATCACGGAAGTATAGAATGAATGGATGAAAGGTGGTGTGTGTGTGTGTGTGTATGTGTGTGTGTGTGTGTGCGCGCGCGCGCGCGCATGTGCATGTGGGGAGGAGGTGGGGGTTGTGAATGCACAAATGTCCCCACTAGATCTGTAACCATTTGGCCTGGCTCTTTTAGTTAGAATTTCCTTAAGCCTCTGGCTGGCCTTCTAAATATAAACACAGATTTATATGGTTTTGGGATAGGCACAGAAACTGCCTCTGAAAGGGCACCAATAACAAGGCCTGGAGTTTAGAATGTCTCTTCAACTCTACAAGAACGACACAGTGTCCCAGTGTGGTGGTGCGCACTTAGAAAACTGAGCCGGGCGCTGGTGGCTCACGCCTGTCATCCTAGCTACTCAGGAGGCTGAGATCTGAGAATCGCGGTTCAAAGCCAGCCCGGGCAGGAGAGACCATGAGACTCCTACCTCCAATAAACCACCAGAAAACTGGAAGTGGCGCTGTAGCTCAAGTGGTAGAGCGCTCGCCTTGAGCTGAAGAGCTGAGGGACAGCGCCCAAGCCCAGAGTTCAAGCCCCATTGCTGACAAAAAAAATAAAAAAAAAAAACTGAGCTAGGAGGACCTGAAGATCTTGGCCACCATGTCAGGAGGTGGGTGGTGGTGGATGGGTGGGGAATAAAAAGCCATGCAAGCACTCCAAGGATTCCTGGATGGAAAGAGATTGGAACACACACATACAATCAATGTCCCGTAAATCTTCATCCCTGTGGAATGTGGAGGAAGCACACCTGGCAGAGAACTCACACAGATGCAGCCCCTCCTCCCTGCCAAATCCCTCACTGCGCGAGTGGACTCTTTATTAGGATGATAAACATCTGAGAGAGCTGAGACTTGCCTTAGGCTTTGGCTCAGGAAACAGTACTTGGAGGTTGCTATCATGGGGGTGTGGGGTGAATAATCATGACTTGTTTAATGCTGTTATATTCCCAGTTAGTCCCACCCCTCTTTGGCACCTAAACAAAATAATATTCTCCAGAACATTCTACAGTGGTGGGTGTGGTGGTCTTGGAACATTGGCCTCTAACATTGAAAGTATGTACAGGACAGCAGGGGCCTGGTGGCTTGCTGTAATCCTATTATCTACTCAGGAAGCTGAGATCTAAGCATCCAGACTCAAAGCCAGCCCGGGCGGGCAAATCCCAGACTCCTGCCTCCAATTCACTAGCAAAAAGCTGGAAGTGGAGGTGTGACTCAAGTGGTAGAATGCCAACCTTGAGTAAAAAAGCCAAGAGAATGGAGGCCAACTCATGGGTGGAGACAGGAGGGTCTGGCAGAGGGAACAGATGACACTGTCAAAAAGGAAATGCACTCATTACCTGACATGCAACTAATTCCCCTGTAAATTAATAAAAAAAAAAAAGGATGAGGTCGATCAACCACCAGTATCAGCTCACAAAAATACACCAAAACCCAAAACATCCCTCCTCCCCCCGCCCCAGAAGAATCCCAACAACAGGAAAGTTGGGCTGGTAGTGTGGTTTAAGTTGGCAGAGCTCCAGAAAGTTTGAGGCCTAGAGCTCTGAGTTCAAACCCCGGCACAACAACAAAAACATTTAAAAGAACAGCACAAGCTCCATTCACAAAATGGTTTTGCTTCTCCAGGTAAGTCTTATTATATATTCAAGCTGGCCTTAAGCTTGTGATCCTCCTGCCTCAGTTTCCCAAATGCTAGGTTGCAAGCATAAGCCACTGTACCAGCTTGAATGCCCCTACCCTTTCCTTTTCTTGCAGTGAAATTTCCAAAGCAGCAACAGCTCACTCAGAGTGAGGTAGAAGTTGGGCTCCATTCTGTTCATGCCTGTCATTAGCCATAGCTACCTTGAATGACAATGGTTTCTCCCCATGAAAGCATTACCTTCTATTGTGAGACTCCCACAGTACTTTGCAAAACCGATTGTTTGGTAACATGTACTGACAGTGAAGCCCCTTCGCTCATGGCTTTTCCTGTAAAGGAAAAGTAATACTACTTGTATTATAAGGGGTGGAACTAAATTGACAGTTCCGATTATTTGACTCTTGGGACTTTCTGGGTTTCAAGACTTCTTTTGGTCCCAACTCTCACCCCTTTGGGCTCTCAGGTGAAGAGGGCTGCATCACCCTTTCCCAGATATCCAGAGATGTACTTGGTGTCATCTTTAGAAAGTGCCTCCTTTTCCCCCTGGAAAGGAGGTTGGCAAGGTGCTGTTTACACCCTGTTCCCAGTACTCATTTAATTCCCATGACTTTGTGACCCAATGCAGCCAACAACTTCAGTTTACAAGTGTGAGGTTAGGGTTAGGGGTCAGGTTAGAGACATCCCCCCAAAGCCTGGTATACAGAAGATGGTCCAGCATCTCCCTTTGCTTAGGCAGATACACAGAAAAAAAAAATCGCATGCTCATTTAACTCAATGTTTAATGAAAGGATGTATAAAAACTTACAAATCTGAGAACTCAACTATACAGACAGTGGGATGACGGGGTATTCAGTTTTCAACATATACATACAGTATAGCTAGAGGTGTTCTTCCCCTTCCCTCTTCCCTTGGGTCCTTACTTCTGGCTCCTATTTTGTCCTGCAACACCATTCTCTTATTGGGCTAAGGGGAGGTTAACGGACAACTTTTACTGCTTTTAGGTCAGTGGAGAAAACTTCAGGTGTTGAAAAGAGAAAAAAAAAAAGTGGGAGAAAAGACATCGTTTGTTTTTCTCCAAAACCGCGATTACAATTTTTTGTCCTGATTTCCTTTTGCCATTTCTGATGCTTCAATGCATGTCGCTAGTGACCAGCCTGCTGCCAGTGAAGTCACATCTGCTCACAACTTCCCCTGGAACATGTACGCTCTGCATACACCCTTCTCCCTGTGACACACGCTGATTTCAAAGCGGCTGCTTGTACTGACATGAACCCACCACAGGCGTCTGCTAGAAAAACAGCATGTCATTTTCTGTTCAGAAAGACAATCCAGACACTAGTTTTTTCAAGTCTGATTTGTAAACCAACCAATTTGTCAGAAACTAAAATACAGCATTTTGTTGTTCAGCTTGGAAAGAAGCCCACAATTAGGTAAGGCAAGTGCATCGATTCACCTGTTTATAGCAAGTATCCGCGTTCCCTCTTACAAACACACAGACTCACCGCTTGTCACGTTCCATCTAAAAATTAAGATTGCCATCACATTATTACTTTTGTCTTGTTAACGTAGATTTTTTTTTAAAACTAGTTTTCTTAACTAGACATAATCTCAAAGGATACATTCTGAAGTAAGACACCTAGAGGATAAATACTAAAAACATTTTCTTGGGTTTAAAGCTCCCCCACACTTTCAGGATTTTTGCATAGTACAGACAGAGCCCAGCTTTATCTCTAAGAAGCATGCCGTATTTTCTGACACTTTTGCTGAGAAGGAAGACTTATTACCCAGGGAGTCATAATTTCAGCTTACCAAATATATTCTAGTTGGTTTGTGTTTGTTATATACCCTTAATTAGTTCCAAGTACGCTTTTAAATAATCGAAAACTTCTCAAAACCTATTACACTTATAAGGACTAAGGACCATTATCTTCCCACCTCCCCTGGATTAGAGGAAATGAATTCCAGGCTTAAAATGCACAGTCTTTTTCACAAGTGGGGCTGAGGGGAAGAGAAGGGAACAGAGCCTGCTTGAATCATGCCACGTACAACTATGGTTCTGAATGCTGGGAAGGGAAAGAGGTTTTTGTAAAAATTAGTTTTTTGTGGGTTTGTGTGTGTGTGGGGTTTTTTTTGTTTGTTTTTTGTTTTTGTTTTTTAAAGACAAGTAACATTCAGTCTAACAACACGGTTTCCTGTTCTTTTTTGATGGAGGCTAGCACTGGGTGGTCGGGTTCCGTGACTTCGGAGTCCCCCCCGCCCAGGAGGACCGACCGCCCCTCGTCTAGGGCGAAGACATCGGAGCCCTGGTTTTGGCATGAGTGTTTGACCACCTCGTTGGGCGTGGAGAAGGTTTTGTCGCACAAGTTGCATTTGTAGGGTTTGTTGGTTTGCACCAGCATGTTGTCCATCTGGCTCCCTTCCTCGAACGTGCAGAGTTCTAGGGTCTGTTTGTCCACCATGGTGTAGGTGTCGATGCTCTGGTTGAGGCACACGTGGCGGGCGGCCTGGTTGGCCCGGCAGAAGCTCTTGTCGCACGTGCTGCACTTGAAGGGCTTCCCCGTGTGGATGTACATGTGCTCGCGCCAGTGGCTCTTCTGGATGAACTTGCGCCCGCAGATGGTGCACTCGTACTTGCGCCTCTTCACCTCCCGCTCCTGGTCGGCCTGCTCCAGGTTGTCAATGTCCGCGATGTCCGAGGGGGGCGGGGTCTCCGACTGCTGCTGCCCGTCGATGATCGGGGAGTCCGAGATGTGCTGCAGCTCGCTGTCGCTGATCATGCCCGCCTCGGGCACCTCCATGCTGTCTTTGCCCAGGTCGGCTGCGTTGGTGCAGAGGGACAGGGGGACGCGGCTCTCCCCGGGCTGGCTGGAGGTGAAGGGGACCCCGGTGTGAATCTGCAGGTGCTCCCGCAGGCTGCTGCGCAGGGTGAAGCGCCGGCCACACAGGTGGCAGGCGTAGTACTTGGGGAAGCTTCCGTTCCTCTTCATGATGCTCGGCTTCACGTGGGCGATGGTCAGGGCCGCAGGATGCTCGTCCGAGGAGGAGGCCTCCAGGTTGGTCTCCTCCCCGGGCGGAGGCGGGGGAACAGGAGTGGACACAAGTTCCGGAGAAAGCGAGGTCTGCAGGGGGTCGGCGGGGGTCATGTTTGTCCGATTCACCTGGGCCAGATTGGAGGTCAGTTGGGACAGCTGGGGCGCCTCGGGCACCGGCTCCCGGCTCATCCTGGCTGGCGGAGGCCTGGGTTCCCGCCCAAGTTTTTCAGGGGCGGAGGCAATCTTGCTGGCTTGCCTCAACTGGTGGTCGGCAATCTGAATGCCATACAGTGAAGAAGCTAGTGGGAAGACTTGGTCGGGATGGGAGAAGGTGCCCTGGCTGGCGAGGCTGGCTTCCTGGATCAGGGGGTATGCGTGCAGAAACTTGATCCCCTGATCTAAGCGCACGGGATCGATCAGCTGCGGAGCCATCTTGCCTGTGTACATCAGGTGCAGGAGATAGCTGAAAATGTCGGGCTGGATGTCGGTGGGCTTCAATCGCACACACTCACTGGAAGAGACGAGAAACAAAGCCCGTAAGTACATGCCACTCGGTGTCTCACATGATAACAGAATCTGTAGGAGAAAAAAAACAAAAACAGACAGACACTAGCAAACAATGAAACAGAACTCTCTCCTTACTGACTGTTAGATCCTCTGGCCCCCGCTGAGCTCTTAGTTAAATCTAGGGCTCTGTACTATCCAATCCTGAGCTCAAACCTTGTCAGGAAAGTGAAACAGCCCATCTAAGAAGGAGGATACGAGGAGCTGGTGAGCATGAGCAGTGTAAGGGCATGTCATCAAAACTGTTCATGCCCCCCAGTTCTTGGCGCTGTGTGACTCTCTCTCGCAAGGGCAAAGGTGGAGGCATGGCAAGTGATGGGAGAGCAGGTCAGGCCAGCCACATTTCCGGTACCGCTAGATGGCGTGAAAAAGAGGCCTACGAACAACCTGTTCCTTATTACCATCAGCCTCAGCCCTGCTGAGGGGCTGTACAACCACGTTGCCATCTGACTGACGGCCAACAGTCAGGGAGAGGTCGCAGGAGTAATGCCTTGCTCAGTATCAGAGATGTTAGTGGTATGACCGACAGTTGAATCTAGGCCTAATTTCTAAAACCACACCAAGAACCTTCAATACAAGTACCCAGTTGGGCCAAAGAGGGCAGAGGTTGATGACTGATTGACAGATGGAACCAGAGAGCGAATGTAGCTGATCGTATGGCTGCTTTTCTAACTTTTAGACTCTACTGCTTGCATCATTTCAGAAACAGCAACATCCTGATTGAGCACCAATGGCAAGGAGTAAGGACTGTTCTCAGACCATCAGTAAAGACAGAAGTTCTAACACAACACTGAAAACCAATGCGATGCATTATCTACATAAATAAGGTGTATGATACATCCAGAGTGGATATGTTCTATGCATATGTGTATCTGCAGAGTTTCCTTGAATTATTTTAAAATTCCTAACGATTTTAGATTGTGCTGCTTCTTGTTACAACTTTTTGATTGTTTTAACAATCACATTCAGTGGTTAAACTCTGTATTTTGCACGATGTTAAACCTTGCGCTTTTAAGTTTACCATTTTAGTCTATTTAAAAAAAGGACCTGGGCACCAGTGGCTCACACCTGTATTCCTACCTACTCAGGAGACTGGTATCCGAAGATTATGGTTCAAAGCCAGCCTGGGCAGACAAATCTGAGAGATTCTTATCTCTGGTTAGCTAGCAAAAAGCCAGACAGGAAGGTGGGGCTCACTGGTAGAACAATAGCTTTGAGCAAAAAAGCTAAGGGAGAATGTGAGGCCCTGAGTTCAGGCCCCAGTACTCTCTCTGTCTCTGTCTCTCTCTCTCTCACACACACACACATATACACACACAAAGTAACTTTAATAGCAACTTGTCACAGGACTATCTCAATAATTATTGTACAACTGTCAGTTGTATTTTAAGAGTGAATACAAATAATTCTGTGACATGTTTGACCGAAAAGTATGGAAACCAAGAATGAAAACAAAACATAAAACCTAGCCTAACCTTAACAGGACAAAGGGAGAGGATATCTAAGTTCCTCTTAAAAACACACACACAGACTGTTCATATCCTTACTTGGTGCCTTTTATTTTTATATTTATATTCCTTATACTTAATAGGAATGTCTTTCAGCACAAGGTAGGTTCCAATAATAGCAGGTGTAGAGTGTAACATATGTGACATATTTAGCTGCTCTGGGGACCTTAAATATTAAAAATATTCATCCTTCCAGGGTGAAGCAGAGACTTTCAGGAATGCAAATTACCCAAGATTAGTAGGCTCCAGATGGACCTGGTCCTCAAGGAAGGAGAGGAGAGCTAGAAAGCCCGCAGCCCTCCCCTCTCCTTGCTAACGGGGAAGGTGCCAGAGGAGGCCCTGGTAAGAATCAGCCTCCAGGAAAGGTACTAAGAACAGAATCCCTTTCCAGAAGAGCTCTTCCATGGGCTTTGCCATTTCTCACTTGTGGTTGGACAGGCCATGGTTGTGAACAGTCAAATGTTAGACAGCTACTGCAGTCCCTGATGGCAAGGACAGGAAGAAGTGGAGAAACCCGGAGCCCACACGTCAGCCGGGCTGGAGAGAGAAGTCTCCTGGGCCAGGCAGTTCTGGCCCAGTGCCAGGGAGAGGGACGCAGGGAGGCCCTGGGGAGATCCCCAGACACCAGTTCATTCTGTTTTATTTAAAACATGTCCTTTTCCAAAGCAGAAGCGTGTGTGTGCGCGTGCACATGCGCGTACACACACACGTGTGCGTGCCCATAAAAGAGGTGGAGCTTTGCCAACTTCCCTGTGGCACACTCCAGCCTCCATCGCTCGACTGCTGTTACCCCTCAACCTCACTCTTAGCCACTCAGCTCCACCGAGGGCCAGGCTTGAGCGGCTTTCTGCTCCTCCAGTGTCTTCCCAGCAAAGATGTCTACTTGAAGAACATTTTAGGCAGGCAAAAAAGAAGTGAACAGCATTTTCGTACAACTCTAAGGCCTCTTTCAAACTTCCACAGTAATTTCCTTGTTCAATCTTTCCTTCATTAAAAATTTACAATTAAACATTTTCAACTAATGCTGAGCATTGTATTTAGCAGGGCTTAGCCCTCCGTACTTCTAATTTTGACAGTTCGACGTCTGCCAAAAAAAATGTAGAGACATCTAGTGGTAACTACAGGACATTAGCACTGTCTAAGGACTGGAGGTGTGATTCAAATGGTAGAGCTCCAGCTGAGTGAGCTCCATGTCCTGAGTTCAAATCCTGATATCACCTTCCTCCCCCACTCCCCTTTCCTCAAGCCAACAAAACACTACCTACAGTAAACCTGAAGGTGCTCATCCTAGTTTTAGTCATGGGCCCCATCAAGCTGAAGGCCTGTCCCCAGGGTCTCCCTGTATTTGCCTCAGTGAACTTGAGCTCTGCACGTGGAGGCAACGAGGCCAGGCTGGCTACCAGGCGGCTCCTCCAATGCCTATGTCACCTCTGGTGTGGTCACACAAACTACTGCTTAAACTGGGGTCTTCTAGGATGCAAGATCATCTTCTTTTGTTACAATGACATTTATTCTCTGCCATTTACTTAAATAAGGAATTTTCTCGCCTTTAATAAAAGCCCATTACATTTTCTTTTACTTCTACAATTTAAAATCTTTTCCTTTTTAGAACCATTTATCTGTATGGAACCTAAGTACAAAGCCCCCATTTAGTGACAAATTCTCTAACACATTGAACTTAAAAGGTGCCATCTTACTACATTGCTCAGACTGGCTTTCAACTCCTCTTGATTCTCCTGCCTCAACCTCCCGACCAGCTTAGTGCTGCGGCCAGCTGGCCCTTGCCCGTAATTACACTTGCTGTAATCCTGTGCTGGCCCTGCTGCCGCTCCAGGAGTCCACCAAATGGCTCTCCCCTTATGTGCATACCATTTCATTATACTCTGTGGTGTCTGTGTCCACAAGGATGTGTAAGACCCAGTCTCTGCCCTCAAGAAACTTACAAACAAGGTGTGTACATGAGGAGGGGTTGGGGTGGGGTCTGAGTATACACTAAGAACAGTTGAAGGAAAATGAGGTACAAATAAAGTGCGATGACCATGAGACGATGAGGTCACTTTTGATTACTTGTCCACTTGGTAGTGGAGGGGCAGGAAGAAGGATGTGTGGTGCGCGGGAGAGGTGGGAGCTGGTCAGGCCACTGTGAGGTATGGTGGGGCGGTTCAGAGACACCTGGCAATGGGGCTGGGGGTCAGGCTCAGGCCTGCAGGGCTCCAAATGAGAAGATAAGGAACCTGGACAGTATTTTGGTGTGCAATGCATCTTCTTGGTTTCTGAGCAAAGGAATCACACATTCAAGAAGTTTCTCATCAAAGGAGACATTTATTTACTGTCCTACATTTAAAGCAGTGATTAGCAAAATTAGTCTGACAGTAAAGTACAGCGTGAATGCTTAGATAATGGAGATGAGGAAGAGTGGACCGATGTGAAAGGTAGTTGGAAGAAGGCGTGACCTGGGGATTGGTAAGGTGATCTGAAAGGGGGTTTAAGCTGGGGAGCTTGAAGATAAGAAAATGAGGAGACCTTCAGAGACACCATGCTGTTTTCACCATGCCCGATGAGATAGGAGGTGGGGTGGGGGAGCAGTCAGTCCTAAATGAGCAGAGGCAGCCCTGGAGGCTCTGGAGTAGAGTTCAGGAGACACAAAGATGGGAGGCCAGAGCGAGAAGCTGCAAGTTTCCAGTAGCAAGATAAGACCTACAGGAAAGACACGAGTGTAAGGAGAGTGGGGAAAGCCTGAGGCTGAGGCTCAGGAGGTCAGGGGCAGAGGGCAGAGGGCAGAGGCCAGAGCAAGGGCAGCCAGCACCGCAGTGCAAGTGACAGCTGCTGCAGATGCTGAGGGCAGACCCGGGCCTGGGTGGGGCAGTGGTTTTGGCGAGGTGACCTTGGAGATGGAACTGCGGTGGAGTCAGGGCTGGGGAGGAAGCCGTGGTGCAAATGGGCAGGAAGAGTGTGGGATGCGCAAAGTGCACAAAAGGACACGGGGCTCTTTTAAGGACTTCTGTGGTGAAATCAAAGACAGCAGTGCCTGAGCTCAAGTCCGCATCCCCCACAGGCTGGATGGGATGCAGTGTGGAAAGGGATGAAAAGTATAAAATACAGAAGAGAAAAAAAATGCAGAGCTGGGAGGGAGGAGGATCAATTTTTCTTTGACCTCAAAAGACTCTTTTCTCTAGGATTCTTTGGACAGATGGACAGAAAGATAGAAAAGAGGGAAACTGGGGGAATTCTTGATTGAATTCAGGGGCCTGGGGCTACGGGAGAGAAAGAACTGGGCTTAGAGACAAAGAAGGCTTACTGACAGAGGGGAGCTGGGTGTCATGACTGGCTCTGGGGGAGGAATCCTCGCAGATCATGCAGGTGAAACCCAGGGTGGTGATTTGGAGGGGAGGGGCTCACAAAGCGGGCAGGTTTGGTGAATCTCCAGGGCTACTGAAAGCACCGGTAACCAAGAGGGCAGAGGGCTAAGGTCACAAGGGAACTGGACACCTAGGAGCCTGGCACAGGCAGACAGACTCATGGTCTGGACAAAGGCAAAGAGTGGGCTTGGTGGGAGAAGGGCATGGGAGTTAGAAGTCTACAGCCATTAGATAGTATCAACCACTTTAGTTACCTGGTCTGATGGACAAACAACATCTTAAAGTAATTGGAGAATGAAGCAAGAACTGATTTGTGTGCCTTGAAGTACACATCGCCGATTGCAACCGTGCAGTCACACAGGAAACCAAACTCTCGCTGAGCGTTTAACTGCTGCAGTAGAATAAGTCCATGGTTGGTCAAATCCATTTTTTTATAAATCTGCAAAGTAAACAATTTTGTTTTTAAGAAAGGTGGTTCACAAACAAGAATGTGTCCTTTATAGTCACCAACAGTAACTATCAAAGCTAACATGCCAGCACAGCTCCCATATTGTCAGATGTATAGCTAACTAGCACACTGGTGAATTCCATCCTCAGAACACGCCTGTCAGAACTCCCGTGGGGTGACTCACTGGGATTACACACTTTGCTCAGGCTTACACAGATGATACGTGGAAAAGCCAGGCAAGAACACAGGGAATCTACCTTCAAGCATCAGTCCTTGACCTTGAAAGCATTCAGGACCAGCTAGTTAGTCTTAAAAAAAGATCCTAGGGGCTGGGAAGGTAGCTCAGCGGTAGAGTGCATGCCTTGCAAGCATGAGGCCCTGGGTTCAATTCCTCAGCACCACATAAACAGAAAAAGCCGGAAGTGGCGCTGTGGCTCCAGTGGTAGAGCGCTCTAGCCTTGAGCTGAAGAGCTGAGGGACAGCGCCCAGGCCCAGAGTTCAGGCCTCATGGCCAGCAAAAAAAAAAAAAAAAAAGATCCTAAATGAAAATTCTAAAGATATATCAGAATTTGTCCAATCTTCTAGAGACAGACCAATTGAAGTGCTGGCTGGAGTCACATCTAGGCGGTGGTGGAACTCCCTGCTTTCCACTCCTTGCCACGGATAGAATGGCTGCAGATCCTCTAGGATTGGCGTTAGCCCTTCCTTTTGTGAAGGAGGAACTAGGCTTTGAATGCTCCAGCCCTTCCACCTGGAAAGTGGAGGAATCAAAATATAAACTTTGGTGTACCAACTTCAAATTCTATGGTTTCTATTACTCTCAGACAGCCCTTCAGCCAATTACTCAGGTCTGAATCTACTCACAGCAGAGAAGCTGCCTACTAATGCTTGGCTATCAAATTCTTAAACTGCTCCTTCTTACAGTCAGACAGCTTTTGTAAAGGCCACTGTGGGACTGGGGGAATGACTTAAGTGGTAGAGCATTATTAGCCTAGCAAGCTCAAGGCTCTGAGTTCAACTCTAGTACCACCAGCGCAGCCTGCTACACAATAGATCAATGTACACTTCATGGTGAGAACAAGGGGATGCTTTCTCCCCAAGATTGGGAACAAAGAAGTATATATATGTTCTCTCTCTCCTTAACATACAGCACTGGAAATAACTGACATATAACGAAGGAAGACAGGAAATAAAGGTATACAAACAGGAAAGAATAAACCAACCTGTCCGTATTTGCAGAAGACATGGTTGTAGAGAACCACAGGCATTTATCTGTCTGTCTATCTTAAAAAAAACCCTCCTAGCACTAAAAATGTCAGTAAGATAAACATACAAAAAAATCAACTAGAATTATAGCACTGAATATGTGGACACTGAAATTAAAACTGCAATACCATTTATAACCACCCAGAAAAAAATATATAAAGCGTAAATCTAACGAAGCATGTAGGACTTGCATGGGTAATTATAAGTTGCTGATGAATCAAAGAAGATCTAAATAAGTGGAGAGACACTATATTTATGGATGTCTCACCTTAGTTAAAAGACATAATCAGTCTTTCAAGTTTAGAATTTGACATAATATCTGTTAAAATCCTAGCAAGATCTGTTATTGAGATATAGGCAAGATTGTTCTGCATGTATATGCTAAGGCAAAGGAAAGACAATTAGCAAAACAACTCTTTGAAAAGAATCATATAGCTGCTAGATGCTTACCCCTATAGTTCTAGCTACTCAAGAGGCTGTGAGCAGAGCTTAAAGGCAGTCCATACAGAAAAGTACTGTAGACTTCATCTCTAATTAGCCATTAAAAAACAGGATTGGAGGCATAACTTAAGTGGTAATTGTGCCACGTGACAAGTAAGCCCTGTGAATAGGAGGCCCTGAGTTTAGTCTTGGTACCAGAAAAATAAGCAAAGTAGTCAAAGTAAATAAATAAGAACAATAACGAAGGAAAAAATCAGTCTACCACTTTTAAGATGTATACTGGCAAGAAATTCAAAACTGTTGTCTTAGCAGAGAGACAGGCATGCAAACCAATGTAGGAGAATATAGAAAACACTGTAACAGAGCCACACAGAGTCACACATTTGATGGTTGAAAAAGGCACCAAAGTAATTCAATGAAGGAAGCAGACCTTCTTAATAAATGGTGCAGACAGGCAGGCAAACTGGGAGGGAAGAAGAGAGGCAGAGGAGACAAGAAGGGACTGAGATCTGTCTTGTACTTTATGTACAAAGGAACTTAAAATGTATCATGAGTTTAAATGTAAGACACACACCATAAAACTTCTGGAATGAGGGATCTAGAGCTAGGCAAAGAGGTCCTACACTCAGCATCAAAAGTAGACTCCGTAAGGATAAAGTGATAAATTAAACTGAATCCTAAGTAAGATTCTGTTCCACAGATGAAAAGACGAGGTAAGAAGAGTAGGAGAAAATGTCTTAGAACTTTTGCAAGCTACCCTTCCAGAAACAGGCCACTATCAGATATAGTATTCTCAAAACTAATAACAAAAAACCCAATCAATTAGAAATGTGCAATAGACTTGACTAGATATTTCATCAAGGCAGATATACACATGGCAGAGAAACACAGGGAAGTGCTCAACATTGTTTACTTCTAGAGAAACCAAATTAAAAACACTGCCTGTTTAATGTGCCTATCAGGATAGATAAAATTATCAAAAATCACCACTCAATGGTGGTGAGGATGTGGAAAAACTGGATCACTCACATATTGGGGATGACAATGTAAAGTGGAACAGATTCCTTCCTTCTTTCTCTTCTCTCTCCTTCTTTTCCTTCCTCCCCCTCTTTTTCTTTCTTTCTTCTTTCTCTGTCTCCGTCTGATTGCTAACGTAGCCCAGGCTGGTCTTCAACTTTGACCCTCCTGCCCAGTGCTGAGAATCAGGTGCTGCCATGCCCAGCTTAGTTTTAAATTAACAAGAAATATTCTTTTTTGACTGTGTTTTTAAGTCTATGCACTTGCTATGAAGGATTCAAACATTATAGAAACACAAAGAGAGCTGTCCATGATCACTTTTTAAGACTCTTTCTCAGTGTCACTTTAGGACACTTAATGATGTGAATCATATATTAACTGGCCATTTCAATTTCTTCTACAGTCTATTCCTGAGTTTTGCCCATGTTTTTCTTGGTTTGCTTTTCATCCTTTTTTCTTTTTTTGGTCAGTCGTGGGGCTTGAACTCTGGGCCTGGGTGCAGTCCCTGCGCTCTTCAGCTCAAGGCGAGCAATCTACCGCTTGAGCCACAGCACCACTTCCTGCTTTTCATCCTGATTTAGAAAATCCATCCATCAATGAGCTTTGTGTCACCTGCATAGCTAGTGCTTTCCTGACTTTCTTGGCCTCTCCTTATACTGAACTTTTGTGTGTGATGGGGATGGAATTCAGGGTCTCACACACATTAAGAGTTCAACCACTGATATACTTCCAGCCCCAAGATTTTTGATGTATGATTGCCTTAATGTTATCAAATTTATCAATAGCTTATAGGAGGATTATGGTGTATACATGGATGGTTCTATATAATGCTGTCTACTTTCACATAGCAAAATACACAGCTCCCTCTCTTTCTATAAACAGACTAACAGTGTTCTATTCAGCCCATAAGAAGGAAGTGTGATAAGAAATGCTGAATGTTTCCTTTTTAAGGGAGTAATTTAGGAACATCTCTTAGATCAGGAATCACACTGAGCATAAGCACTCAAATATAGAGGGAGGAACACATGCGATGGCTCTGAGAGATGAAAGGAGGAAGAACACAGAACAAGTCATATGTTTAAAAATTCATGTGGGAGAAAATCCAAAGATCAATTTAGGAACAATCTTTAGATCAAAAATTTGTTTCTCAGAAGAGAAAATCAAAGTGGAATTGCCTGGATCCTCGCAGTGAAGTACTCTGAACGCGTGGGGTGAGAGGCAGTGGAGGCAGCAGAAGCACACGGGAAGGACTGCGTTTCGGGGCCTCGCTCTCCTTTTCCTCTTCATGGTCCCCCAAATCATTGTGCTGAGGGCTTAACTTGCATAAAGACCATGCAGTGCAGGCTGACCAGGCTATCCTACTTTGGAAAAATGGCAGAATTTGCTACCTCTCCTCCAGTGTGGATAAGCCTCCTGTGTCTGGTATCCAGGCCACTTTGCACCGGTGATGTCTTCCCCTCCCGCCAAGATCACTCTGGCCGTTCTCTCCTGCGCATGCTCTGCTGCCCACTTCTTCCTGGGCAGCATCCCCTGGGTGAGTGCATCCTCTTCTACCCTGTGGTCCCAAAGGAACCTTCAGCTTGATCTCAATCAGTGAACTCAAATACCTGACCTGCTCACCCCTTCTCTCGAGTGAGAAGCTGGTGTACAAATCTGTTCTGTATTCAAACTCAGTCTTGAGAAGTCTCAACTCAGGTTCCAATTCTCTAAGACCTTACCCCTCACATCAACTGAAACCCCTCCCAATTCGCCTCCCAACTCTGATTCTCCATTCCTTACCATCCACTATATAACAGTCAGATCTTTCTGAAGGGCGAATCTGATGTTTCTGTCACCTTACTATTGCTTTCTCTGCGCTCTAGACTCCAGAGCTGATTCAAGCTAAAGCTTTTCAGACTTTCTGATTTCACACTTACACAAAACAAACAAACCGCTACACTGAGGCGGGGGCGCTCCAACAGTGCTGCTCTCTATTCTGCGGGCAAAGACACAAGCTAGTCACAGGCCTAACAGGGATGGGAGCGCATTTCCCCCTAAGTGGGCAGAAAGGACGGAATGCAAGTGCATTCTCCCAGAGGAAGAAGAGCAGACACTATATCCAAACATGGAAAATACCCTTTTCTAAATGTAAACACAAAACCTTCTTTTGTGACATTAAGTATCCACTCAATTACTTTTGGACCCAAGATTGTCAGCTTGGGCATCCAGTATATATAAACATTATCAAAAAACACTTGGCTGTAATCCCAGCACTTCAGAGGAGGCTA